CACCTTCAGCACTGTCTCCCCAGGGGCCGGCACAGAGTAGGTGCACAATGTTTGTTGAGCGAATGAATGCATACTCCTCCCACCTCTGTAAATTTCAATATAGTCCCTCAGAAAGGTGGGGGTGGGGCAAATCAACGAGGTCCGAACTCCATTCTGATACTCTTCCAATTTCCAGAAGCAGCCAGAAACAGGCAGGAGAGGCCTCTCTTGGGGGACAAAGGCACCCCACTCCCCACTTCAACCCCAATTCTCTGAAAAAATGTTCTCAAAGACAGCAGAAAATATGCCCTGAGAAGCGGTGGGTCAGAAATGATAGAAATAAAGTGGCTCGAATGCTCCCAACTCCTAAGAGAAGATACGATGTACACGAACGGTACACCTTTCTCCTGGCTGGCGGGCGGGTACGAGGAACTGTCAATTTTCAGCTACTATCTGAGTCAACTGGAAGGGGTCGTGCATAATGCAAAAGCAGTATTTAAAAACAATATTAAAAGGGCAGCCGGTTAGCTCAGTTGGTTAGAGTGCAGTGCTCATAACACCAAGGTTCCCGGTTCCATCCCCGCATGGGCCACTGTGAGCTGCGGCCTCCACAACTAGATTGAAACAACTACTTGACTTGGAGCTGATGGGTCCTGGAAAAACACACTGTTCCCCAATAAAATAAAATGAAAACTAAAAACAATACTAAAACAAATGCCTTTGCTGGAATTTGTAAAGCGTCCAGAGGCATGAATGGTCTCTCACACTCCCTGCCTCCCTGTCCCAACCTTTCAGAGGCAGGATGCCACACACAGATAGCCCACTCGCATCTAAGCAGCAGAGTGGCTTTTAGGACAGACAATTCCAAACATCCCAAGAACCCCACCACAAGCAGATGAGAAAACATGACAGCCTGGGCTGGCTCAGCTGTAGGTAGGACTGGGGAGAGCTGCAGGCCAGATCAGCAGAGGAAAAGCTGACCACAGTGGAGAGCGCACAACGGCAGTGTGACGGGGAAGGACATGATGGAATCCAAGAGGGCCAGTGTGTATCTTGCTTCCTGTGGCTTCAGGGCCCCTGAGGAAGACAGGAGACACACCAGCAGCCAGGCACTGGGGACTGCAGCTGCCACAGCCTTTAATTTGAAACTGAGATGAGCTCCCACACCAAGGCTGACTCCTGAGGCCTTTGCCTTGAGATTTTTTGTGTGATTTGCATTACAACCATCTATTTGCATCTCAACTGTCACCCTGTACAAATGGGTTGTTGTTCGGTTCAGCCCATCCCATCCCTCCCTTCCCTGGCTTCTGTGAGTTTTCTATAGCCCGGGCAAATGAAAAGAAATTATTCGGAGAGACTTGACAATGAGGACGGAGTCCTTGGGAGATAGAAAGGGCCGCTTTCAAGCACCTTTGTTGTCTTGAATGGTTTGGCAGAGCCTGAGCTTCAGCAAGAAACTGAGTAGAAGCTTAGCTCTGGAGGGGACGGCAGGCATCATTTAGTCTTTGTGAATGAAATTAGCGTCCTTCTTAGGGACGACTGCCACAAAGTGCTGCGGAGAGGTGAAACTGCTTCCTCCTTCCCTTTGTTTTAGGTCAGCACCCTCTACTGCCCCACAGTGGACTCTGAGGTCACCTTCCTGTGCAAACTGGGCCGGAATTGGGCTTCAGCACAGGGCCCTGCCTGAAGATCTGTTTGTATCACTGTATCATTGAATCATGCCTTAACTCCACCAATGCACATTTCTGCAGTGCTTCCCAAGTGCCAGGAAGAGTATGAGGCACAGGGTTATACTCATGGGAGAAAGCAGACTGGCCCCTGCCTGTGGCTCAGTCAGTCTAATCGGGAGATGGATATTATTGAGATCTTCACACTAACAACTGCAAAATCACAGTCATGGTCAGCGTAAGGGAGAAATCACGTGGTTCCACAGAATCTGTGACAAAGGGATTTCACCTCTCTGCATGCTCCCTTTCTTCCTCCAAGTTTGCTCAATGAACACATTTTTCTGCCACAACTGCAAATCCAGGGCCGCCTTCAACCCAGACACAAATCCCAACAAGTGGATTCTCCCCTCAGAAAGAGAACTGGGAGCCTGGAGGACGGCCCAGATGACTTTAGGTGGGGCAGTCTGGGCTTTGGGGCTGCCAGTCCTCGTGGGCAGTTCTTTTTCTGTACTTCACTGTGCCCTGGAGAAGTGGGACCCTGTGGGGAGGAGGCCAGTCCTCTACTGCCGGAGACACTGGCCATCTCCCTGGGGAAAACAGTGGAATGGTCCCTGGCAGTGCTGGGTACCATGTCTGCAGTGGGCATGCTGATGTCTGTGCCTGGGTCGGGAGCGGTCACTAGAGGCAGGCTGCACCCAGACACCTCTCGGCATTCCTGCAGAAGCTTCAGACAGGCCTTCTAGCAAAGGGAGACTGAGATAAAACCCAAGGAGTCAGGGTGACCTTGGAATCCCCCAACCAGTAGCCGTGAGCAGGGCCCTGGAGGTTCTGGCCCTGCTGGTGGCCATGCTCCCTGGACCCCTCTGGTTAACACCTGGGTATGGCAGGCACCACAGTAAGTCCATGCACACACCATCTGACCTCCCTGCCTCCAAACACTTGTTGGTATCCTCCGTGGCAGACACAAATAGATAGCTGCTTTCCCACATTCCACAGCCTCCTGGTGTGAAATGGGGCACGTAGCTCCTTCTGGCTGATGGGCCCACTCTGGGAGGAAGCGTAGAGGAGCTGGTGCTTAGCCCCCCAGCTGTCTCCTCCCTGCTGCAGTGACTGATGGAACTGCAGAGCGTGTACCTGAGTGACTACACAAAAGGGGGTCTCCCTGCCCACCTGTGCCAGATGAGTCGTCAAGAGTGAGAAATAAACTTCTGTTTCAGGGTTCATTTGTTACTGCAAGAGAAACTGACGGATACATTTTCCTTTTATTTCTTTCTTACACCGAAAAGCAAAGTGGTGCTTAGAAAGGGTCAATGACTCACCCAAGGTCACAGAGCTAGCAAATGGCAAGGATGGACTTGAACACCAGTCCCGTCTGATTCCAGAGCTTGGGCTGTGAACTATTACACAAGCTGCCTTCCCTCTGGGATGCCTCCTAAATGAAGCCCGCATTCCTTGGCTCGGCATTCAAGGCCCTCCAAGGCCATGTCCCAGCCCACCTTCCCATCAGCCCACTATACACACCCTGCATCAGCCGCGTGGGTCACGGTCTGTTCCCTTGATCTACTTGCAGGCTTCTCCCTCTGGGCCTCTCTGTGGGCCACTGCCTGCCCTGCCAGCCCTTCTGCGATCCCTTTCACGATCTAATTTACACCCCAAGGCTCAGCCCTAGTCCCCCTGTTACTATAGAGCCTTTCCTGATCCTCCCAGACTTACTCCCCCTTCCTCAGCGGAGCTCTAGAGCCCTCCCTGCCTGTAGTCACTGGACCCCCGACCCACACGCCTGTACCAGTGCCTCTCTTCTCTTGGGTGCTATCATTAGCATGAAACCAAAATGGGGCTGTCTTCCGAGCTTCTCATTCCCACAGCAGTCTCTAAGGGGGTGCTGCACTCCAGGGGATACAAGATAGCCCGCTGGGGTGTGAGAACATGTTAGAACTTGTTGCTATCCCTGTTTATCTCCACCTTTTAAACTTTCTATATTCTTGCACATGTTTTAAAAGGTTCATTCTACATTTGCATACACACACTTGGCCCCCTGGTTCAGGGACTATGGGTTACCCTTCCTGGACTCTCTCAAGGGGCTAAATACAGGTCCTTGTAAACAGTAGGTGCTCAGTCCGTGCTTTAGTTATCTCAGGCAGATGGGTCTGGAATGACTTAGCAGGAGACGGAGGCATGTGCGCGGACACACACACACACACACACACACACACACACACACACACACACAGGNCTGGAATGACTTAGCAGGAGACGGAGGCATGTGCGCGGACACACACACACACACACACACACACACACACACACACACACACAGGGGCTGACCTGCCCTCGTGGCCCTGAGTCCTTGCGGGAGACCATGTCTGGTTGAGAGAAGCTGGCAGGAGATGGGAGTGATGTGGGAGGAAGGGCTCCTGGGTGGGCATGTTGGGCAGTCAGAGTGGAGAGGGGCAGGAGGAGCAAGGAGGATGCTGGGCCTGGAGCAGGGCCAGTGTGGGAGCCCGGAGTGAGGAGTAATTGCGGAGAAGGGCCTCGGGCTGGGAAACCTAATGGAATTCCTGAGCAGCGTGGGCCAGGGGGGCGGCAGTAATAAATAGATATCCTGTTAACGACTGTGGCTGTGACAGGAAAGGGAGATGGGGCACGAGGAGGGGTCAGAGGACCAGGCAGGCTGAGAGGGTGTCATCCGAACGAAGCCTGTCCCATCCGGGCCTGGACCATGGCCCGATGCTGCAGGGCCTGCCAGGGCTCATGGGGGCCGCAGCCGCCGGGAGCCTCCTCTCTCCTCTCCCTCTCGAGCTGCCCCTCACTCTCGGCCCATGTCTCTTTCTTTTAAGACTGGCCTCAGCCAGGCAGGCCCTTGGGCAAGGGGATGAAGGCAACCCCTCTGGAGTCTCCTTATGGCCAGGGCCTCCCCCCTCCTTAGGATTCTTGCATGGAAAAGGTGAGGTCGTTATGACACTGAAAGTAGGAATGAGGTTTTCTTCCAAGGTCGTTATTTATACAAGAGTCTCTACCTTTGAAAATTTCTGTTTTTATGTTTTATAGTATACATACTAGATGAGTAGAATGATCATGTATATAATTTCTAAATAAGTACTACACATTGGAGGCGTGTGCTCAAATGTATTTTGCAGGGTGTAAGGGGTAGTCCAAAAGTTTAGAGACTACTGGGGGGTTTTTTTTGCAGCCATATTTATCATCAGAACATAGCAGGGGAGGGGATACAACCATATTTGTTTCTATGTTATAGATGGGGTCCTGGAAACCTCGAGATACCTGGTGTCTCTCCCAGGGTTGCTCAGCCAGGTCAGGGTGGTGGGTCAGGATGGGCCACATTCCCCAGGGACTCACCTCGTCCTTGTCCACCACCTGGATGAAGAGCGGGAGGGCGAAGCCGACCTGTGCCAGCTCAGTGATGGCCACGCTGTACTCGGAGCTGTTGAACTCTGGGGCATTGTCATTGATGTCAATAACCAGGATGTTGAAGGTCGTGGTGACTGTGGCATCGGAGGGGGTGCGGTCATCATTCAGCTCTGTGCCCTGCAGCAAGAGGCAAAATAGCCAGGATGCAGGGGGCCACAATCACAACAATAGCTTTCCTGTACCAGGGCTTCCTTAATGCTAGACACAGAGCTTTATGTGAATTATCCCATCTCATCCTCACCACAACCCCAGGAGGGGGAGTCTACCATTAACATTCCCATGTTACTGATGAGGAAACTGAGGCTCAGAGAGGTTAAGTAACTTGTACAAGGACACACAGCCAGAGTAGGTGTCAAACTCAGGCAGTAGGACTCTAGAACCAAGGGGATGAGGTGGGGTAGGGAGGACAAGATAGATCTGGAGGCTCATCAAGGGGCAAAGGGAGAGCCTATGCGTTTGACAGATGATAAAACTGAGGCCAAGAATTTTTGTGCTAGCAGGTAATCAAGTTCTTAATTTAGCATCTACTATGGACTGAACTCTGTGCTAGGCATAGTGAGGTTCTGGATTGGACTCAGCAATAGGTGGGCTCAGATACCTGGGTATCCAGTCTCTAGATCAGAGCCCCCAGGCCCCCAAATACTCGTTCCCAGTTCCCACCTCAAACTTCTGAACCATTCTGTGGATGAGAGGCCCAGGACTAGGTATGTTTCACTAGCTCCCTAAGGGAATTTGGATTCACAGCCAAGTTTGGGAACTTACCCTCACATTGTTACATAAAGATGGACAAACTGAGCTCAGGGTCCCCACAGTGAGTTGGTGGCTGCAATGGAGCTAGGGAGCAGCTCTGTCTCATTGGAGCTGCCATCTCCACAGGAAGAGAACGAAGACAGGGGGAAGGCTGAGGGGGGCCCACAGGCTTGGCGCTGAATGGGGGACAGGTGGTGTTAGCAGGCCCTCTCCCAGTTGGCCCACACATCAGGTGTACAGCAGGTGGAGAGGAGGGAGCCAGTAGGGTGAGAGGGGGCTAATTAACCCCTAGCTGCCCCAGGCACTGTCAAGGTCAAGGTGAGCAGTTAAGAGCCAGGCTGGACGGCACCATCCTCCCCACACCAATGGAAGGGCTCCTTCCCAGAGCCCCTCTCCTCGGGCTTTACGCCACCACCTGGCCTCAATCGATGGCCAGGGTTGGGGAGGACCCCTGTGGCCCAGGCAGGATCCAGGCCTGAAATGGGTTTCCCAGGGAATGGCTCAGCAAGTCATTGATTTTAATTAAAACTGGCCATGAGTGGCAGGTGGCTGCAGGGGCCGGGGGCTGTGGCTCCACTCCACCACACCTTCTCGGGTGGGAACCACTGCAGCTGACACCTCTCCCTGCTGCTGCAGTTGCTGTTTCTAACAAGGTAATAGCTCCAGGGAAGCCGTGAGACTTAGAAATGGGACAAAACCCAGACATGGGGTAAACTTAAGAATCTGAGGTGGCTACAGTGGTGAACTTGGAATTAGGGATAACTGTACGGACCACAGAATGAGCACCTACTATGTGCCCAGCAATGCCCCCTGACCCGGCCTACACCTGATGCGCATTGGCATGAGCCCTGGGAATCAGCACAGGGTGAGAGAGCAGAAGCCATGGACCTCCTGGGAGCCTCCACCATGGACACTTCCGGAGGCTCGGTGCAGGCATCCTCTCTACCCAGATGGAGGTTGCCGGCTCTTACCTTCACAGTCAGGATAAAGCCGTGGCTGTACAGGGGGTTCTCCCGGTCCAGCAGGCCATTCAAGGTCAGCGCTCCGCTGATGTAGTCCAGGGCAAAGATGCTGTTGGTATTCCCTGCAAGAGAAGAGAGAGTTGTGACTGGGGCCCAGGGCAGGAGGACCAGGGGCTGGGACGTTAAGGATGAATCAGTGACTTAAAATGGAAGCTGGCTCAAGGAGGAAGAGAAAGAGCTCTGGAGGACACGGCCCAGGCAGTAGACAGCACTGAATCACAGGATGAAAACGTTATGCCCTTTCAGGCTTCTTCCAGTCCCTGTGAGTGGAGGAGAAAGTCTCGGTTTGGGGCTAATACGTCTGTAGTGCCTCTCTAATACTCTTTAACACTCGTTTGTTCTTCTGTTTAACAAACAGAGAGCTGCAGGCTCACAGCCTTCAAAGGGAGCAGTCCCCAGCTAGGACTTGGTAACTGCTACAATCTAAATGTTTGTGTCCTCCCAGAATTCACAGGGTGAAACCCTAACCTCCAAAGTGATGGTATTAGGAAGTGGGGCCTTTGGGAGGCGATTAGGCCATGAGTGCAGAGCCCTCACGGACAGGATTTGTACTCATAAAAAGAGAACCCACAGAGCTCCATGTTGGCACTCTGATCTCAGACGTCCCAGCCTCCAGAACTGTGAGAAGTAAAGTTCTGTTGTGTATAAGCCAGCCAGGCTGTGGTGTTGTGTTACAGCAGCCTGAACGGACTCAGGCAGTAATCTTGTTCTGTTTCCTTTGTGCTTATTTTTGTGGCCATTTTCTATTCTGTTCTAATTTTCTATTTATGGCAGTGATGCAAAGTTCCATTTTATGATAAATATAAGTTAAAGACATAGTTAAAATTTAAGAATAAGTATTTAAGTACTTGTTAAATTGAAAATATATATTTAATGTACTAGCAAAAATCATACACAAATGACATTGGTTCAAACAGAGGCTTCTGTACGCCCACCCCTCTCTGCCCCACCAGCTTCATTTTATGGTTTTCTCTTCAGGCCCCCTGTGTGCGCAGAGTGGCTTCCTCAGGTCCCCCAAATCACCATATTCATGCCTGCCTCCTTGTCTTTCAGTGTCCACCTTCCTCTTTTGGCCTTCCCTTCCCTCCTCCCACCCAGCACCAGCCCCCCCCCTTTCTCCTGGAAGGTGGTCCTGCCTCTCTGGCTGACCCCCCCACCCCCCCAGGCAGTTGCCATTGCTCTGTTTGTTCTCCAGTGGCTTCCTGTGTGTCCATGTGATCTTCCCACCTAGCCTAAAAGCCTCCTGAAGATGGAGGCCTTTTACGACCGTCCCTCAAGTTCCCTGGCCAGTGCTGGGCACCCACTGGCAAGCATGTTCCTAAAGAGTGGCTGCTCCCAGCCCACCTGCGCCCATGTAATTGCCCTTGTACCCTTCCCACCAGGCTGTGAGATCACCTGTTCACCTGGGAAAATGCCATTCTACTTTCCTTTCTTCCTCATTAACCAGTGTGTTGGTTCATCCACATACTCACTCACTCACTCACTCACTGCCATCCAGTCACGTAGTCAGCAAGCCTCTGTGCAGGCTGCCCTATGGCCAGACCCTGTGCTTGGCATTGGGGGGGGGCACAGACATCACTCCGCCAGGAATTCTGACACTGACACACTTGCAGCCTGGTAAGGGAGCTTTGACACCCACAGGAATCGGCATCTCTGAGTTCACAGCAGAACGAGACTATTCACACGTGGGAAGACTCAAAGAAGGAAAGCTTTGTGGAGGAGGTGGCACTGATTCCCTACCCCACTGACTAGCTGTGTGACCTTGAGCAACTTCCCTAAATATGTATATATGTGCGTATATGTCAGCTGAGAACAGTTCCTGGCACAAAATAAGGACTCAGTAAGTGCTGTTTGAGCTGGGCCCTGGAGGGCAGGCAGGACTGGGGAAGGGGGTAGATAGACACTGATTCCATAGGAGGGAACTGATCCCAGGCCTTTGCCACACACAGGTGGACACCAGGGTCACCCGTGGAAGCTGTTGCATCTTCTTGCTCCTCTCCTTCCCTACCTCTAAGGGGATCTGCACGTCGTAGAGGCTCATATCATCTCTGGGATTAACTAGGGGAAAAGTAGAGGGAGACAATTTCCTCTTCTAACTTTAGTCTTTGGGACGGGGGCTATTCTCGGCCAACCCCATGCTGGCTGGCAAGGCAGCCCACTTCCACCTGGTTGGTGGGTAGGGGCCTGCTCCCACCTGTCCTCCCTGGCTGAAGCAGGGAGAGGCTGCTGACGATTGTGGGGCCTGTTCAGGTCTCAGGTCATTCGCAGATTGTGGGCTATGGGGACTCGAACATGGGGCAAGGCCAGGGAGGGGACATCATCCAGCCTTCTCCCATGGCCATAGAGAGATCTGGGTACCTTCCTGCTGTGTTTCTGCAGTGAGGAGGACAAGGCCACAGGGAGGCACATAAATGCATGAATGTAGGAAGTTTGTTTAGCTAGGAATTCTGCTACTGGGGAAACGAGGATGCGTGCTTTCATCTGTTCATCATTAGCTAACAATTCAACAAACAATTACTGAGCTCCTGCAATGTACCAGGGACCCATTCTTATAGGAGGTGCAGCCCTCAACCAAGCATTCACATTACAGAGTGATCAGTGCTGAGATGGGGTGAAGCACGGACATCGCAGGGCCCTTTGGGGCTGGGTCCTCTTAGCCCTTAAATGCTGAGCTGAAGGGCTACCCAGAGGCAAGACCTCAAAGCCTCCTGCTGACCATCCCCCCCCACCCCACACAGAGGTGTGGGCCCCCCTCCCAAAGCCCCACCTCAAGCATCACTATCATTCTAGATTTTCATATAAATTTATTCTTTCCAATAAAGGAACCTATCAAATGTGTAACTCAATGGGGTTCAACTTTTATCTTTGCAAGATTTTTCCCATAAATCATTCACAAACTAGAAGGCCCTTGCTGAACAATGTGCTTGGTTTTCAGTTTAGGAAATAGGGTTGTCTATCCTGGCACACTCAACTGGGGCTCCCCACCCAGCACCTTCACCCCACTCATGGCCATACTGCCCATCCCCATCCTCAGACATAAAACACCCGCACCCCTGACCTAGGCACCTTCTCCAACAAACCTGCAGGCAAATACCTCACAACTGGTACACACTGAAACTTGAGGACCCTCCCCCGCCACACACACACATACACATTCTTTTTCACACATCTGTGTGGAGCTTACCTTCCAACCTCCTACCAAGTATAAATCACTAACTCCCAGGATCACCAGCCAGAAAGGGTTACTCCCAGGGAGCTGACAAGGCCACCTGAGTGAGGCACAGGCTCTGATGGTCCTGCTGTCACCATGGTAACATTAGTACTCACTGGGATGGCTGCTGGGGCAGGGCAGGAGGCCAAGGGCAGGTCTCATTCAAAGACGGATTGAATAGCTCACTCCTGCATTCAAGTTCATACTGAGCACCTGCTGTGTGCAAGGTGCTGAAGAATCAGTAGAGAAAAAGCAGGCAAGGTTCATGCCTTCAGCTTTATGGTAAAGAGTGACGTTCATGATATTATCACACTATTGAATGTATACGTACTTGCTGAGCTAAGGCCCCTGAAGAGCAGCAACACTGAGTGGAATAGAGGTGGTTAAGATTATGCCCTCTGGGGGCAGACTGCATGGGTTCAGATCATGGCTCTGCTACTTGGTGAGTGACTTTGGTCAAGTTACTTAACACATTTGGCCTCAATTTCCTGGTCTGCAAGATGCGGGTAACATTCGTACCCAACCCAGAGCATTGCTGTGAAGATTAAATGAGTTAATCTAGTGCCTGGCACATAGGAAGCTCTTAACATGATGGCTCACCTCCTCCACCCCTACCCACACCCAAGGAGCCTGTGCCCAGAGCTGTCTGCCCAGGGGGAGCACTGAGTCAACCCCATCCTCTTGCCAGGACAGCCTCACCACCAAGGCCCCATGGGTACAAGCTTGCATCCCTGAGGCCAAGGCCGAGAACAAAACCTTCAGGCCCACAGGGCATGACACCTAGGCTTGGCCTCTGCTCCCTGCGTCACTCACCCTTCAGGGTGGTCACTTACTTGCTCACCTCCCTTATAACCCCTCTTACTATTTTCTCTTCCCCGGGGGGCTGTGGGCTTGGCAGCTACACACAAAAGTTCCTCTGCTATCCTGGAAGCTGATACCATCATGTCATCCCTCTGGTCTCCCGACATTCTTTATCCAAGTCCCACGGGGACTGAGGGGTTGGGGGAGACTCACCAGGGACGCCTTTCACCTGTTCAGCCCCTGTTGCTGAGCAGGACAGCTGCTTCCCTTGGGCTGACAGGTGCTGTTCTAAGGTGTGTGTGGCTATACCTGGTGGGGGAGGGGTTCTGGAGTGGAATGGGCTGCACCTTGAGTGCCCTAAGGCTTCTGGAACTGGTGACTTAAGGCATTCACACCAGACAAGAAGCAGGTCATTACAGGCCCTGCTGGTTCTCTCGGGGGCAGCCACGTCCTCTAGAAGCTTCAAACATCAAGCTATCTTCAGATTCGCAAGAGAGAGGCTGAGAGGCTGTGCATCAAATCTGCAGAAGCATGAAAAGGCTGCTGAGGGGGAGTCACAGCCTTATTTCTCCTATATATTAAAATATGGTAGCTAGGTCAGACTGTGAGATATGAGAGCAGGTGGGGCACAGAAGTGGGGACAGTGGGGACAGGAAGGTGCTGCTCCCCAGAGTTTGGTCTAAAATACAAAGAGAGAAGTGGAGTGGCAGCTAGAGGGCGCAGTAGAGTCAAGCGAAGGGCTTCTGTGTTTTATATACAGATGGTCAAGGCAGAGAGGGGAGGAAGTGGGCGAGGAAAGCTGGGTGGGGGTGCGGATGGATAGATGGCAGTCAACCTTGGGGAGCAGGGGGGCGCCTCCTTCTTTGGGCCATGGGGGGCTCACCCTCCCACCCTCTCGTTCCTTGGAGGTTGGCAGGCTCTCCTCTTCCACAGGCACCCCTCCTTCTGGCTCCTGCCAAATCTCATCAGTCCTACACCTTGTCCCCTTGTTATCTCGCCCGCAGCATCTTGACCCAGAGCAGAGCCGGGTCTGGGCGAAAAGCAGTTTAG